ATCACCACCATCACCATCACCACCATCACCACCATCAACACCACCACCACCATCATCACCACCATCACCACCACCACCATCACCACCACCATCATCACCACCATCACTACCACCACCATCACTACCACCACCATCACTACCACCACCATCACCACCACCATCATCACCACCATCACCATCATCACCACCATCACCACCACTACCACCACCAACACCACCATCACCACCACCATCATCACCACCATCACCACCACTACCACCACCATCATCACCACCATCACCACCACCATCACCGCCACCATCATCACCACCATCACCACCATCATCACCACCACCATCATCACCATCACCACCACCATCACTACCACCACCATCACCACCACCATCATCACTACCACCACCATCACCACCACCATCACCACCACCATCATCACCACCACCATCACCACCACCATCACAAGCACGAGCAACAAGTGGAGTTGAGTCGACGCCCCAGAGCGTGGGTTTCGCCTGGCACAACTTCCTCCTCTTGCCACTGTTTCGCTCCTCGTGTCCATTGCGCCACCAGAGAGGGGTCGTCGTTTTCTCGGCGTCAGCTCGAGTCTGCAATCCGTCGACCCAGGAGTTGCTGTGGCCGACTACTTTTTGTTTACTTGCAGCTCGCGTCGTCAACATTTGGGCAGCCAAAGGGACGGAGCCACGCCAACACCGCCACCACCGCTACCAACACCGCAACCACCGCCACCACCGCCACCACCACCACTACCACCACCGCCACCACCACCGCCACCACCACCGTCACCACCGCCACCAGCACCACTACCACCGCCGTCACCACCACCACCGCCACCGCAACCACTACCGCCACCACCACCGCTACAACCACCACTACCACCGCTACTATCACCGCCGCCACCACCACCACCGCAACCACTACCGCCACCACCACCGCTACAACCACCACCACCACCACCGATACCATCACCGCCACCACCGCCGCCACCACCACCGCCACCACCACCGCTACCACCACCACCATCGCCACCACCACCTTTTCGACGCGCCGGTTTAACCGCCCTGCACAGAGCCGTGCCTACGAGTTGCGGCGAATCGAGGCGACCGCCCAGGGCCCCGCGCTTTGGGGGGGAGGGGCGAGGCGGTGGGGTTTGTCGCGGCCCGCCCCGCACCCCACTATCGACGGCTCTATTGTGTATGTTTACGTGAACACTGTAGACACGTGTATGTGTGGTTTTGTTTGTGTCTGTGTGTGTGTGGTTTTGTGTGTGTCTGTGTGGTTTTGTGTGTGTGTGTGGTTTTGTGTGTGTCTGTGTGTGTGTATTTGTGTGTGTCTGTGTGTGTGGTTTTGCGTGTGTCTGTGTGTGTGGGGTTTTGTTTGTGTCTGTGTGTGTGTGGTTTTGTGTGTGTGTGGTTTTGTGTGTGTCTGTGTGTGTGTGGTTTTGTGTGTGTCTGTGTGTGTGTGGTTTTGTGTGTGTGTGTGGTTTTGTGTGTGTGTGGTTTTGTGTGTGTCTGTGTGTGTCTGTGTGTGTGTGGTTTTGTGTGTGTCTGTGTGTGTGGGGTTTTGTTTGTGTCTGTGTCTGTGTGGTTTTGTGTGTGTGTGTGGTTTTGTGTGTGTGTGGTTTTTTGTGTGTCTGTGTGTGTCTGTGTGTGTGTGGTTTTGTGTGTGTCAGTGTGTGTGTGTGGTTTTGTGTGTGTCTGTGTGTGTGTGGTTTTGTGTGTGTCTGTGTGTGTGTGGTTTTGTGTGTGTGTGGTTTTGTGTGTGTCTGTGTGTGTGTGGTTTTGTGTGTGTCTGTGTGTGTGTGGTTTTGTGTGTGTGTGTGGTTTTGTGTGTGTGTGTGGTTTTGTGTGTGTCTGTATGTGTCTGTGTGTGTGTGTGGTTTTGTGTGTGTCTGTGTGTGTGGGGTTTTGTTTGTGTCTGTGTCTGTGTGGTTTTGTGTGTGTGTGTGTGGTTTTGTGTGTGTGTGGTTTTTTGTGTGTCTGTGTGTGTCTGTGTGTGTGTGGTTTTGTGTGTGTCAGTGTGTGTGTGTGTGGTTTTGTGTGTGTCTGTGTGTGTGTGGTTTTGTGTGTGTCTGTGTGTGTGTGGTTTTGTGTGTCTTGTGTGTGTGGTTTTGTGTGTGTGTGGTTTTGTGTGTGTCTGTGTGTGTGTGGTTTTGTGTGTGTCTGTGTGTGTGGGGAGCGGTGGTGGAAGCGGTTCGCGCTACACTGCGCTACGAACCCGGCCACGCGAGTTGGATTCCCGCTCACGTCCACCAACACCAAGTGACGATTATCTGAACCGGTCCCTTGGGCTCCTCTGGGTCGACTCAGCCTCGAATGAGTATCTGGTGCGATGTGTACGAACATTGCTACTAGGGAGACAAAGGTGGCCGGGCGTGGTGCTGGCCACCCACCCCCTCGTGTACCGTGCCGGTCTTCATAGGTGCTCGCTAACAGCACTTGCCCCAAAAGCCCGTGAAGGCTATGTGAAGGACCTTTGTCTTTGTATGTGTGTTCACGCGTCACTTGATTCTCCGTGCTGATCGCTGTAGCCTCGCAATAGCACTGTGGAATTTCCACCACTGACTCAATGATGTCGATCTCTACTTTGTGTCTCTGACTTCCTCAATCTCTCGTCTCGCAGAATGGAGTGGCTTGTGTGTGCGTTGTGTGTGTGTGGTGTGTGTGGTGTGTGTGTTATGTGTGTGGTGTGTGTGTTGTGTGTGTGGTGTGTGTGTGGTGTGTGTGTGGTGTGTGTGTTGTGTGTGTGTTGTGTGTGTTGTGTGTGTGTTGTGTGTGTGGTGTGGTGTGTGGTGTGTGTGTGGTGTGTGTGTTGTGTGTGTTGTGTGTGTGTTGTGTGTGTTGTGTGTGTGTTGTGTGTGTGTTGTGTGTGTGTGGTGTGTGTTGTGTGTGTGTTGTGTGTGTGTTGTGTGTGTGGTGTGTGTGGCTTGTGTGTGTGTTGTGTGTGTGTGGTGTGTGTGTTGTGTGTGTGTTGTGTGTGTGTGGTGTGTGTGTGTGTTGTGTGTGTGTGTGTGGGGTGTGTGTTGTGTGTGTGTTGTGTGTGTTGTGTGTGTGTTGTGTGTGTGGTGTGGTGTGTGGTGTGTGAAAGGGGGAGCGGTAGTGTATCGGTTAGCGCGCTGCGCTATGAACCTGGCGACCCGGGTTCGATTCCCGCTCACGGCCAACACCAGTGACGATTATTTGAACCGGTCCTGGGCCTCCCCTAGGTCGACTCAGCCTCAAATGAGTACCTGGTGCGGTGTGTAAACATCGTCACTAGGGAGACAAAGGCGGTCGGGCGTGGTGCTGGCCACCCACCCCCTCGTGTACCGTTCCGGCCTTCATAGGTGCTCGCTAACAGCACTTGCCCCTACAGTCTGTTAAGGCTATACGGGGGATCTTTTGTCTTTGTGGTGTGGTGTGTGTGTGTGAGTGTTGCGTATGTGGTCTGTGTTGTGTGTATGTTGTGTGTGCGTGGTGTGAATGTTGTGTGTGTGGTGTGTATGTTGTGTGTGTTGTGTGTGTTGTGTGTGTTGTGTGTGTGGTGTGAATGTTGTGTGTATGTTGTGTGTATGTTGTGTGTATGTTGTGTGTATGTTGTGTGTATGTTGTGTGTATGTTGTGTGTATGTTGTGTGTATGTTGTGTGTGTGGTATTGTGTGTGTGGTATTGTGTATGTTGTGTGTGTGTCCATGAAAAGACCGTGTTTTTACGGTTGTGGCCACAAAGACAAAAAAAAACAGCCGTATGTAATTGCTCGACTTTTGGGGCAAGTGCTGTTTCCGTGATCAGCGCCAAAGCGGTTGTCGTGACCATCGCTACGCCCGTCCGCCTTTGTCTCCCCCACCGGCGTAGTTCACACAACCCGCTCATTCCAGGCCAACTCCAGCCAACGGCTCAGGAATATTCCCCATCGGTGTTGCCCGCGACCTAGAACCTACATCTTAATTAAGTTGTTTATTGTAAAAGTCCGGTCACAGTCCCTGTGATCACTGTTACGTTGCCATTATGGCTTTATTTTTTGGTGATTTCGAAAACGTTTTTTTTGGTTTGGACATGTTTGTTTTGTTATAGTACGGAGTTAGACTGATGGCCTTAATCTAAGTTTTCTTGTGGTTGTTGTTGTTATTGTTGTTTGACTTGCATCCCACTGGAATGTTTTGCACGCAGCGTTGGTGTACGGTGCCTTTTTTTCAGGAATATTTTTGCTGGGTTTTTTTTGTCATGGATTTTCTGTTTGCACAGTCACAGTCACACAAAGTCACTTTCAGATGTCGTTCTTGTTCGTGTTTTTGTTTTTGTTTGCTTGTTGTGGCTGCACCCGATTCAAGAGCCGAATGGCTCACAGGGCTACACCAAAATAAATAAACTGAATGAAGAAACTGCATGCGGGGACCCCCCTTTGAGCAGAGAGCGTTGGGGCGAGCGATGTCTCGAGCAGGACCAGGTCACGGCACGTCGGGCTTCAGGGAGCTGCAGCCCGGTTGGCCTCAGGCCAGGTGGACGGGGCCCCTCCAGAGATGAAGTAAAACGTTTTTTTGCCCTTGTAAAAAAACTTTTTTTAACTTTTGAAAATATTACGGGGGGGGGGGGGGGGGGTGTGGGTGGGGGAACCTCACGGTACCTGTAGCCCAGGGGGGCCTACAAACATCTTAATCCGCTCCTGTTAGCGAGCACCTATTAAGGCGGCCCACGGGCACACGATGGGGTGGGTGGGTGACCAACACCACGCCCGGCCGCCTTTGTCTTTATCTCCCCAGTGCGCGATCTGCTCGTTTAAGGCTGCGTCGAACGAGATGAAGACCCCCCCCCCCCCCACCAGCATAACGACGCCGGGTTCCACTTATTGGCGCCGTGAGCGGAGCATGGAAATCTCGGCTCTTCGTCGTCAGCGCCGTTAGCGGCGCTAACCGCTGCGCCACCGCTCCCCCCCGCATGCGCGCGCGTGCGTGCCGATCGGAAGTCACGTGAGCGGCGGCGCGCAGTATAAAGCACGTGGCGACACGAGGTGATGCGAGTGAAGGGTGAGTTGCTGCTGTTGGTGTTGGTGGGGGGGGAGAGCCAGGGAGAGAGTTGAGGAGTTCGCGTCCCGAGTTCCACGGAGGCGAGATGTACAGCGCTCATGAGTTGACGCGCGTGAGTGTTACACTCCTCACTCTCTCTCTCTCTGACGCACTCACCCACACTGACCCACTCACACTCACCCAGCCACTCACACTCACCCAGGAACTCACACTCACCCAGCCACTCACACTCACCCAGCCACTCACACTCACCCAGCCACTCACACTGAAACCACTCACACTCACCCAGCCACTCACACTCACCCAGCCACTCACGTTCACTCAGTCAAGCCACACTCATTCACTCACTCACGTGAACTCACTCACCAACTCACACTCACCCAGTCACTCACACTCACCCAGCCACTCACACTGACCCACTCACAGTCACCCAGCCACTCACACTGACCCACTCAGACTCACCCAGTCACTCACCCAGCCACTCACACTGACCCACTCACACTCATCCAGTCACTCACACCCACCCAGCCACTCACACTCACCCAGGCACTCACGTTCACACAGTCACTCACACTCACCCAGCCACTCACGTTCACTCAGTCAAGCCACACTCATTCACTCACTCACGTGAACTCACTCACCCACTCACACTCACCCAGCCACTCACACTCACCCAGCCACTCACACTGACCCACTCACAGTCACCCAGCCACTCACACTGACCCACTCACACTCACCCAGTCACTCACACTCACCCAGCCACTCACACTCACCCAGCCACTCACACTCACCCAGCCACTCACGTTCACTCAGTCAACCCACACTCATTCACTCTCTCACGTTCACTCACCCACTCACACTCACCCAGCCACTCACGTTCACTCACTCACCAACTCACACTCATTCACTCACTCACGTGAACTCACTCACCCACTCACACTCACCCAGTCACTCACGTTCATTCACTCACCAACTCACACTCATTCACTCACGTGAACTCACTCACCAACTCACACTCACCCAGTCACTCACGTTCACTCACTCACCAACTCACACTCATTCACTCACTCACATGAACTCACTCACCCACTCACACTCACCCACTCACACTCACGTGAACTCACTCACCAACTCACACTCATTCACTCACTCACGTGAACTCACTCACCCACTCACACTCACCCAGTCACTCACGTTCACTCACTCACCAACTCACACTCATTCACTCACTCACGTGAACTCACTCACCCACTCATACTCACCCAGCCACTCACGTTCACTCACTCACCAACTCACACTCATTCACTCACATGAACTCACTCACCCACTCACACTCACACTCACCCAGCCACTCACGTTCACTCACTCACCAACTCACACTCATTCACTCACTCACATGAACTCACTCACCCACTCACACTCACCCACTCACAATCACCCAGCCACTCACGTTCACTCAGTCAACCCACACTCATTCACTCACTCACGTGAACTCACTCACCCACTCACACTCACCCACTCACACTCACCCAGCCACTCAGTCAACCACACTCATTCATTCACTCACATCCACTCACTCACCAACTTACAACTCACCAACTCACACTCACCCAGCCACTCAGTCAACCCACACTCATTCACTCACTCACGTGAACTCACTCACCCACTCACACTCACCCACTCACACTCACCCAGCCACTCAGTCAACCACACTCATTCATTCACTCACGTCCACTCACTCACCAACTCACCAACTCACACTCACCCAGCCACTCACGTTCACTAACTCACCAACTCACACTCATTCACTCACTCACATGAAGTCACTCACCCACTCACACTCACCCACTCACACTCACCCAGTCACTCACGTGAACTCAGTCAACCCACACTCATTCACTCACTCACGTGAACTCACTCTCACCCACTCACACTCACCCAGCCACTCACGTTCACTCACTCACCAACTCACACTCATTCACTCACTCACATGAACTCACTCACCCACCCACACTCACCCACTCACACTCACCCAGCCACTCACGTGAACTCACTCACCAACTCACACTTATTCACTCACTCACGTGAACTCACTCACCCACTCACACTCACCCAGTCACTCACGTTCATTCACTCACCAACTCACACTCATTCACTCACTCACGTGAACTCACTCACCCACTCACACTCACCAGCCACTCACGTTCACTCACTTACCAACTCACACTCATTCACTCACTCACATGAACTCACTCACCCACTCACACTCACCCACTCACACTCACCCAGCCACTCACGTGAACTCACTCACCAACTCACACTCATTCACTCACTCACATGAACTCACTCACCCACTCACACTCACCCACTCACACTCACTCAGCCACTCACGTTCACTCACTCACCAACTCACACTCATTCACTCACTCACGTGACCTCACTCACCCACTCACACTCACCCAGTCACTCACGTTCACTCACTCACCAACTCACACTCATTCACTCACTCACGTGAACTCACTCACCCACTCACACTCACCCACTCACACTCACCCAGCCACTCACGTTCACTCACTCACCAACTCACACTCATTCACTCACTCACATGAACTCACTCACCCACTCACACTCACCCAGCCACTCACGTTCACTCACTCACCAACTCACACTCATTCACTCACTCACGTGAACTCACTCACCCACTCACACTCACCCAGCCACTCACGTTCACTCACTCACCAACTCACCTAGCCACAACGCATACTTTAACAACGTATACTTTAACAACGCTTACTTTAACAACGCATGCTTTAACAACGCATACTTTAACAACGCATACTTTAACAACGCATACGTTAACAACGTATCGGCAGTGTACATTCCCACCGCATCAAATAGCCTTACTCGAAAATCGTTTATATCCCCGTGGTCGGCTGGGCAGCCGAAACGTCGGACCCGTCTCGCTTGCTTCGCTCAGTGTTTGCAACGCGTGACCGTTAGTATATAGGGTACACCACACATATATATACAGGGTAAACACATATATAGGGTAAACACCACACATATATAGGGTAAACACCACACATATATAGTGTAAACACCACACATATATAGGGTAAACACCACACACATATATAGGGTAAACACCACACATATATAGGGTAAATACCACACATATATAGGGTAAACACCACACACATATATAGGGTAAACACCACACACATATATAGGGTAAACACCACACACATATATAGGGTATACACCACACACATATATAGGGTAAACACCACGCACATATATAGGGTAAATACCACACATATATAGGGTAAATACCACACATATATAGGGTAAACACCACACACATATATAGGGTAAACACCACACACATATATAGGGTAAACACCACACACATATATAGGGTATACACCACACACATATATAGGGTAAACACCACACACATATATAGGGTAAATACCACACATATATAGGGTAAACACCACACATATATAGGGTAAACACCACACATATATAGGGTAAATACCACACATATATAGGGTAAACACCACACACATATATAGGGTAAACACCACACACATATAGGGTAAACACCACACGCATATATAGGGTAAACACCACACATATATAGGGTAAACACCACACACATATATAGGGTAAACACCACACACATATATAGGGTAAACACCACACACATATAGGGTAAATACCACACATATATAGGGTAAATACCACACACATATATACGGTAAACACCACACATATGTATAGGGTAAACACCACACATATATATAGGGTAAACACCACACACATATAGGGTAAACACCACACACATATATAGGGTAAACACCACACACATATATAGGGTAAACGCCACACACATATAAAGGGTAAACACCACACACATATATAGGGTAATCACCACACACATTTATAGGGTAAATACCACACATATATAGGGTAAACACCACACACCTATATAGGGTAAACACCACACACATATATAGGGTAAACACCACACATATATAGGGTAAACACCACACGTATATAGGGTAAACACCACACATATATAGAGTAAACACCACACATATATAGGGTAAACACCACACACATATATAGGGTAAACACCACACACATATATAGGGTAAATACCACACACATATATAGGGTACACACCACACACATATATAGGGTAAACACCACACATATATAGGGTAAGCACCACACATATATAGGGTAAACAACACACACACATAGGGTAAGCACCAAACATATATAGGGTAAACACCACGCATATATATAGGGTAAACACCACACACATATATAGGGTACACACCACACATATATATATAGGGTAAACACCACACACATATATAGGGTAAACACCACACACATATAGGGTATACACCACACACATATATAGGGTAAACACCACACACATATATAGGGTATACACCACACATATATAGGGTATACACCACACATATATAGGGTAAACACCACACATATATAGGGTAAAAACCACACACATATATGGTATACACCACACGTATATGTAGGGTAAACACCTCACATATATATATAGGGTAAACACCACACACATATATAGGGTAAACACCACACATATATAGGGTAAAAACCACACATATATAGGGTAAACACCACACACATATATAGGGTATACACCACACATATATATAGGGTAAACACCACACACATATATAGGGTATACACCACACACATATATAGGGTAAACACCACACACGTATATAGGGTAAACACCACACACATATATAGGGTAAACACCACACACACATATAGGGTACACACCACACATAAATAGGGTAACCACCACACACATATATAGGGTACACACCACACATATATAGGGTAAACACCACACATATATAGGGTAAACACCCCACACATATATATAGGATAAACACGACACATATAGGGTAAACACCACACACATATATAGGGTAAACACCACACACACATATATAGGGTATACACCACACACATATACAGGGTAAACACCACACATATATTTTAGGGTATACACCACACACATATATAGGGTAAACACCACACACA